ACACTGCTCAAATTCTAAACGAACTGCTTCCATTGCCGAGATACCGGGGGCTCATATTATAAAGCAAGGTTATAAAACCACCTTTTAAGATCATTTTAGTGAAAGTTTCATGTTCCAGCTCATAGAATTTAAGAACAATGATGAATAAATCATTTTCGAGCAAAATTTAAATGGCCGGCTGAATATATTACCGCCGGAGAGACACGGCAGCGGAATTTAAATCACCGCGCGAAAGGGTTAAAATATGAACATATAAATGAGAATGTACATTTTACTCCCCTTTTACCTTGTGTGTGTGTATGTAGGGGGGGCACATATTTCATTGGCCCTGGTCCTGCTAGTTCAGAGAGTAATGAGCCACCACTGACAATGAGTGTTTGTTAACTTCTAAACAAACTCCTCAATACATGCAAAGAGAGCAAAATATAAAGCTCAGTAACCCTGAAAGTAGGCAAAATTTCATAAATTTCTTCTGAACATTTTCTTTGAAATGAACTTGTAGGAGAGGTCTCTGAAACTGCCTACATATCATTGATATTATTTTTTCTATTTTTGCTGTCATGACTCCACAGACTTAATATTCAAGTATCTCTAGATCTTTCTTTGTTTTGGTATTAAGGAACTAAGTTGGTTAAATAACAGGTCAGCACTTCCATTGTGCTTTGCAAATAAATGAGATTATTTTGCTATTATTGGATACAAAGAGTTCTTTCTTCTGTTGATTGTCTCAAAAGATTTATAAATCTTTTAAGGACGTTTTGATTCAAGATCTCCTACATAGTAGTTTTCCAGTCACATACTGGAGAGAACTGTGGAATAATTAACAATCACTAGAACACATACAGTGTTTTGATGATATGAATGTTCTTGGGATTAAATATATTACATTAATGACTGTCTATAATTTGGTACATGGCCTAAAACATTGATGTAATTAATACCAGCAACCAGCAACACTTTCCTGTATGGTATAATGAAGTCCCTGGTTATGTGTGTTATCTAGCTGTGAAGTGAAATACCTGTGCTGTTAATTTGCTTTCAAAATGACCCTAGAGCCAGAGCAGTGGCAGCAACAGATGACAACAGAGAGGACTGTTTGCTTCATGGAAAATAGATTTTATGACTTTGCAGTGTAATACCAGTATCTCTAATGCAAGATTGCAAATGAAAGTACATTTGTGAAATTTGTCCTCAAAATCAACATTCAGTTGAGGAGGAAATTAAGAGGAGATTGAATTCAGGTAATGCTTGCTACCATTCAGTCCAGAACCTTTTGCCTTCATGTCTGCCATCTAAAAACGTAAGAATTAGAATACACAAAGCTATAATTTTGCCTGTGGTTTTGTATGGGTCTGAAACTTGGTCTCTGACATTCAGGGCATAAAATAAACTAAAGGTGTTTGAGAACAGGGTACTGAGGAGAATATTTAGACTGAAAATTGATGAAGTGGCAAGAGGTTGGAGAAAACTGCATAATGAGGAGCTTCATAACTTGTACTCTTCTGCAAGTAGAATTAAAATGCTCAAGTCAAAAAGATGAGAACAGCAAGGCATGTGGCACACAAGGGGAGAAAAGGAATGCATATAGGTTTATGGTGGGGAAAGTCAGAAGAAAAGAAACCGCTAGGAAAACCTAGATATAAGTGGTAGGATAAAATTGAAATGGATCTTAGTTAAGATGTGCTGTGGACTGGATTGATCTGGCTCAGGATAGGGACCAGTGGAATGTTTTTGTGAGTGTGGTAATGAACCTTCAAGTTCCATAAAATGCTGGGAAATTCCTGAGTGTCTGAGTGACTGGTGGCTTCTCAAGAAGGGTTCAGCTCCATCGAATTAGTTTAGTTGTGTCCTCCAAATTAAAGCAAGTATGTTTTTATATTCTGGGCACACAGTACTGTAGTTGGTTGAGGCAATATGCTACAAGGCGGAAGGTCATGGGCTTGATTCCCGGCAAGGTTATTGGATTTTTCAATTCACCTAATCCTTCCACCTGCAATATGGCTCTGGGTTCGACTCAGCCTCTAACAGAAATGAGTACCAGGACTCTTCCTGGGGGTAAAGAGTGACCGGTGCATAAGGACGACAACTTTGCCACCATCTGTGTGCCGATTTTCTAGCAAATGTGGGAGCCTCGATATC